TTCACCAAGTGGATAGAAGCTGAACCCCTAAATTGTTAACACAAACACAAACATGACATTTTCACACGGTTTACCTGTTTGTGCAAACACAAACACTCGCTTGAGAAAGAGAAAGAGAAAGGTTAGCTGCCAATGGAGGGGTTTCCGTTGGAGCGAAGCGTAGAGCGGTTGAAGTTAGGATGGGGGTTTAGTTGAGGGAAAATAGCTGAAGTGAACGGGCCAGAGAGACAGAGAGGGAGACAGAGAGAGGGACACAGCTCCATACCTCATATCTAGTTCGAGAGAAGGGCTTCACTTCAGCAATGGAATCAACACAGCCTTCTAGTTACGTTGTTGTTGGAAATCGCCCGTTATACTGTTCCCTACAGAGCTTCGTCAATGGAACGAACCCAACAGGGGCTTCTCCCTGTAATGGAAATCAACGGTTACACTGACTCAACCTTACACAGAGAGGAGAACAGAGAGAGATAGAGACGAAATACAGAGAGTGAGTGGGATGCAATCATGCAAATACAAGCATTAACCGGTTGCCCCGGTTTCAACTTTTTCAGGATTAAACAATTCAATGGTCTTGATCAATTATTGTAATCTAACGGCTAACAATTGGGTTGCATATGGTGTGCAACCTTAAGGGGGTTGCACACTTAAGCATGACCCTAACTAATATACTAACTGATGTGACATAATTTTAGAGATTTTTGATATTTATAATTTGTATAATAGGTGAGATTAGTAATAATGACATAATACTAATTGATATATTAATATATACATTAATAGATATATGTAGCACCACCATAAAAAGAATAATACTATATGTATCATTTAATATACTAACTAATATATTAATTGATGATGTGACATAATTTAAGAGGTTTTTGAGATTTGTAATATAATTAATGAGTGGAGTCAATAATAATATCATAACTAGTATTAGTACATTAATTAGTACACTAATTAATACATGTAGTCACTACAGGAAAATGAGGATTTAACGGCATTTAATTAATGACGTTTAATTAAACGTCACTTTTTTTTATAATTAATGGCGTTTTTTAAACGTCGCCTTTGTTGTTAGGCAAAACGGTACCGTTTTAAAAATAGAAGACGTTGAAAAAACGCCTCCAAACCCTGTCTCTCTTTACTCACTCTTCCCTGTCTGTCTTCACACCCTCTTCTATCTCTCTAAACTTTTATTTTGAAAACCCTATTTTGAGCACTGTCGTCTCCTTCTCACTCACTCCTTGCTTTCTCTCTCTCTCACACACAAATATCTCTCGATTCTTCAGTTCAGTTCAGTGATTCTTCTTCGATTCTTCTTCAGTTTGGTGATTCATCTCGAGATTGCAATTTCGAAGTTCGATTTTGAGCATAGATCCGTGATTCATCTCCGTGGATTTGGAACTCTTCATCTTCTTCGATCAGAGGTTAGTTGCTCTCTCCTTCTCTCACTCAAATCTCTCACGATTCTTCTTCAGTTCAATGATACCTCTTCGATTCTTCTTCAGTTCGGTGATTCATCTCGGATTGCGATTTCGAAGTTTGATTTTGAGCGTAGCTCTGTGATTTATCTCAGTGGATTTGGAACTCTTCGTCTTCTTTGATCAGAGGTTAGTTGCTCTCTCTTTCTCTCACTCAAATCTCTCTAGATTCTTCTTCAGTTCGGTGATTCTTCTTCGATTCTTCTTCCATTGATGAATAACTTTTGTTATGGCAAAGGAAAAAATGTAGGTGAAACATTAATTTATTGGTTCAAACATTAAAATATGCCCAATTTGGTCCTCCTCCTCCTCCTCCTCCTCCTCGTCGAGTTCAAACGAACGACCTCCTAAAAAGAGGATCCGCTGGCAACGTCCGTTTTCCGTTGAGAACTTCATTCGATGGTACGCACTTTCTTCCCTAAATCTCGGAGCATATTTTACAGCATCACCATTTCAGTTGCTACCTAAGAGAGAACGGGTTTTCAAAGTCATAAAATTTATTTTTCTCTTCAAGGTCAATTAATGCTCAAGAAGATGTTTAAGAGAAATAAAATTCACAAATTACAGTAATGATTTCTGGAATGTACTCCAATTTTAATACCTTTGTTGTGGTAATTTTTGAATATATATAAAATCTCATTGTTTTAGTTGTAGAATTGATTTACTGCTAAGAAACTGATCCATTAACAGGATAGGCATTAGTTGTGATCTGAGTTCTTATGATTTATTGTGTGTAATCTGTTGAAATTCCACTTGTTGATAGTTAGTTACTTCTTGCTGCAGATTAAACTCTTCACAGATTCAGAAACTTTTCGATTAATGATTAAGGCTAAACTGCTTATTGGTTGAGTACAATATGCTACTATTTATCTGACAGATAAATGTTATTCTTTACTGGAATACACTGAGAAGCTTATTTCGTTGGCTTATGTTGGCAAATTTTCTAGGTAAAGAACATGCACTTGTCGTATCGAATCACAAAGCGACATTGATTGGCTAGTTGGATGGCTTTTGGCTCAGGTGCTTGTCTGACATGCAGTTTTCTTTTATGCATGTGCATTCACAAGCAGAGACATGTATATGAATGCTTGTCTAACATGCAGTTTTCTTTTATAGATGTGCATTCACAAGCACAGACATGCATATGCACATTAGTTATGTTGGTAGACGTATAGAGGCATACTCGTGTTTGCAGATTAAACATATTTCTTTCGGCAAATGACAGCTTAAAATTTGCTATATTGTCTTATTTGGAATGCTTTTATTGTAATCTTTGCTTTATACTACGTTTCCACTTATAAAAAAAAAAAAAAGAAATTATGATTTTCACTGATTATTTGTCAAAATTCCTTATAACAGCGATCAGGTTGCCTTGGTAGTGCATTAGCTGTAATGAAGAAATCATCAAAATTCCTTCCGGTAAGAATCTGAACTTGACATGTTCTCTAAATGTGGTTGAGGTGAAGCATTTTAAGTTAATTAGTTAAATTCAGATCATGCCAGTTCAGTTCTTGATGGAGTGGCCTTCTGTCTCAAAAGTTCAATGCATGTTAATTCGTGAATTTGGTGAATTCAGTGAAGGTTTATTGTGATCTGTATTTAAAATACATGAAATTATAACAAGTTTGGATCATTGCTCTATTGTCTCCTCTCCTCTATTTATGATTTATTACTGTTTACATGTCATGTCCCTTACTCATTATCATTTGCCTTGTCTTTTGAACACCTCAATACCTTCAAAGATATATTCGGAATGATAAAACTATATCCAACATATGCAGGTCATAGGTTGGTCTATGTGGTTTTCTAAGTATCTATTTCTTGAAAGAAGCTGGGCTAAGGATGAAAGAACTTTAAAGGTATGGGTGTACTTAATACATTTATGAACAAATGCTATGTGTTTGTAGGTTTGTGATGCTCGCTTTCAAGGGGCCTTAATTGATCTCATTCAAATCTTGTGGGATTGAATCTGCAGCCAGGTCTTCAGCAATTACAGGATTTTCCTCTGCCATTTTGGTTGGCACTTTTTGTAGAAGGAACTCGCTTTACACAGGCAAAGCTTGAAGCAGCTCAGGAGTATGCAGCTTCAGCAGGGTTGCCTGTTCCTAGAAATGTTTTGATTCCTCGTACCAAGGTAATACTTTCATTTCACCTCTTTATAAGGTAGAAGGCTACATTTTCCCCTGATGTAATTTCCTGGTTCTCTTTGAATCCATTTTCTTTTGGCTAGTTTGTGAACAACTTCCTTCCCACTAAGTGTCTAAAATTTCTTCTATAAATATCCACATGCGTACCTGTTGATTGTGTGCAAAATTGTGCACTTCTGATTTTGGTTTGTGGCTAAATTTGGAGGCTTAAACCTTCTGAGCAAAGGGTTTTCCTATGTTGTGGTTGGATTTCCATTTGTAGTACATAAAATATTGGAAGTAAATTTTCAATAAAATTAAATTGTAAAATGTATACTCAAGATGAGGCTGTTATAAAATTTCCTTAGTTTTTGCTACTACATGTTCCAATGTCCGTCTTTGTGTCTGATATTTTGCATGTTATTGGGTTTGACTTCTGTAACCTCTAAACTAGGTAGGTGTAAGTAACTTTTTTATGACATTGAGTGAAAAGTGTCATAATTAAATAAATTTTTATGGCATTTTGTGAAATGCGACTAAGCCAAAATCTTTTAAAACTATCTAATGGCATTTTTTTTAAAAAACAAAAAACACCAATATACCCCCAATTTTTTTTTTTCAAATGTATACAAAATAAATAAATAAATAAATTGAACTCAATATAACATGTTTTTTAACTCTACTGGCCACATGTACAAAATTGATCTCAATAGGCTTACCAATAGAATGTCATTTTAGAACTCTAATAAAGTTTTTTGTTATAGACCAATATGAATATATATGGAATTTATTATAATTTTTTAAAATATTTTATTATTTTAAATTTTGTGTGTAGCACAAGATTTTTGCAATTTGTAATTTTTTTTTTTTTTTATTCTTTTTGTTGTGAGAATAAGAGATTTGAAAATTTATTCTAAAGAAAAATCATGTGTATGAAAAGATAGAATTATATGTATATAAGATTGTCAGTTTTTGAATATTTAAAATTTGGTATCTTTATTTTTCTATTATGTTAAATTACTTCCTATATTTAATAGCAACATTAATATGTATTTTGAAAAGAATTATTATATTTTCCGGTTAAAAGTCATAAATCATGGAGTAATTAGAGTTTTATATATATATATATATATATAGTTAAATAGAAGCTAGGTAATAGAGATTTTTTTTTATTATTTAAAATTAAGAAAATTAAGAAATTTAGCATGATATATTGAAGCTCTTACATTCTTTCTCATTAAAAATTCCATTTTCCTTAATATATTGTCACGACTCGCTCCCTGTACCCTATGGTTAAGTATCGTGATGGCCAGTAACTGAAGTTACCTCCGGCCAATTCTTAAACAAATTAATAAATGCGAGCAGAAAAAATATTTAAGTGAGGGTACCAAAATAATCATTGGAACTTCTATTTTTATTACAAAATTTATTGACCAAAAATGTCGATATTTACATATAAAAATATCATAAAAGTATTGTGTGTGTTTATTTCGCAACCCTGCATCTAAGACTTTCCAAAAGTTATTTCCGAATCGTATTGTTTCCTGAAAATTGGTAAACAACTATAAGCACATGGCAGAGTGAGAAATATTATGTCACGAGTATAAGAGATACAAAATAATCATGGATAGTTATGTAACTAAAATATTTAAGATCACTTAATCTAAACAAATAATCATTTAATTAATAAAACTGAGATTATGTAAATAAATAACCATAACCACGGTACCGAACAGAACAGAATAGATGCATGGACTCAAGAGATGGCTCGTACGAACTCTAGAGGTGGCTCCCACAATAGTGTAGCACTTAGTTCCGTATAGTATTTTGTTCCACACCAGAAATCAGAGGGTCAATGGATCCATGACAACAGAAGACCATAAAGTAACCAAACAGAAGCCAATGGTTATTTAAGTCTCCAAAGGTATGGAACTCCCGTGGTGATACTTACAAAACATAATTGTTTATAAGGCCATAGTCAAATATGTACTAAAATTTAAACAAACATATCCGTGAGTTTCATTTTAAACAAATAGAGTTCAGAAAATAACCCACATAATTGAAATATTAATATAATTTATAAAACATAACTTGTATAAAATAAATTATGATAAATCAAAACATACATAAAATATATTATAGTGACCCAAGGTTTTGCTAGGTAGCTCAAATATTTGTGGCTCAAATGGCTCAAATCACTCAAAACGACGTCGTTTTGAGTGTAAAACGATGTCGTTTTAACAGATTTGAGCCATTTGAGCCATAAAAGTTTGAGCTACCAAATATTTTTCATAATATAACTCACCATAATATTAATATCTCATTCTTTCTTTCAACTGTTAAAGACCCTTTCGGCTTCTAATATTTTCTTTCTCTTTTCTTAATTTCTTTTCCTTTCATTTCATTTCCTCAACTCCACACCTCCTCCCTATTTATAGGAGGCAACCCAACCCCCAGCTTACACACGTGGCTCCTTCAAATTCTCCTCCCTCAATTCAAGCTTATCCCAAAGGTGACTCACTAATCTACACCTATGCATGCCTAATTATCCTCTAAGCTACGTGTTGCTTCGATTTGTTCTTTTTATTTTGTTTTTTTTTTAAATTTTAAACCTTGCCCAATGCTTAAACTAATTATATTATTTTATAAAATTAAACATAATAATACAAAATAAATCATATATTTTTCCAATTATAATTAAATAATATTAGTATAAATTTTACAAAATAATTAAAATTTTGGATTGTTACATTTATAGTATAAATACTAATATTTTTTAATTTTTTAATTATATAATTTGAATAAAATAACAATTTTAGAAATTTAGGAAGCTTCAATGACTCCCTACCTATAGGGAGAAACGGTAGCAACCCCTTAAATTAATTGACTCCTTAAATTATCTAAAACACAAATATAATGCATCTGCTGGAGATGCTATAACGAGTTGGGTAAATTACACTTTTTGCATTTTTATTTTTTAGTTTTAACTCTTGAATTTTTTTCTTCTTACTTTGGTTTTAGGTTTTAATTTTTTTCAAAAATTAATTTAAGTCTAAAATTAGATAAAAATAACATGTTGCTGACTGTCACATGACATAATATATATATATATATATACTATTATATTTAATTTTAAATTTATGTTAGATGCATGTGTTAAATATATTAATATATTTTATATTATGTGACTATTAATGTGATACTTTCTAGGATAAATTAGTAATAGGTCCTAATTGTGATATCTCTGTTCCGTAGTATGTTAATTGGTCTATAATATGAGTATGATTATGTGTTTAATATGATTTTGTGTGCCATTATGTGAAAATATGTGGTTTTGAATTTCTATCTGTTTACCGTAGGAATATCTGTTTGACTATCTATTTTGGGAATTAAATTGAAGGCCCTATCGGCCACCGAAACCAAAATTGGTTGCGCCATTGTGATTGGCATAATTTCTAGAGCCTACGGTGAAATTTAATTGAAAATTGATTCGGATCAAATTAACTGGATTAAATTAGTGCTAAATGCTCAAATATGTAATATTAAATTAATGAGGCCCAGTGGGGTTATACATGGGACCATTATATATGCAATTCCCTCTTTTATTTCACTCTTGGCTGATTTAACTCTCTAGAGGAGGAGAGACCCAAAATTAGAGAGAGAGAGACGGGAGAGAATCAAGGTTTTGGTTTTGAAGCATGATACTTTGAAGCCATACTCAAGAAATTGTTATTGATTGGAGAAATTGAGCCTCTAGGTAGGTAATTGATCTTGAATTCATAAGTTGAATTTGTAATTTTGTAGGTTCAAGGTTCACTTGTGATCAAGAGCTTAATTTGAGTTGAATTTGTTGAATTGGGAGCTTATATGAGCATGCATGTGCATGATTGCTATAATTTTGTATATTCATGCATGAACCATGTTGAACAAGAGGAATTGGGCACCAAATCTCACATGCATGCATGGTTTTCATAAGTTCCATGATCATGAACCTTATTTGTACCATTTGAACTCAAAATGGAAGCCAACCTACTTGCATGTTTGATTTTTGAAGAAATGGAGCCTATGTGAAGTTTGAAATATGTGGGTTTTGTTCATGGTAAAGAAATGAGAGTTGTTTGAGAATGAGATGATGACTTTGAAGAATTTGATGTAATATCCTCACACTCTCGTGTAATATAATGTGTTTTTATGTTTTTGGAACTGAAATCATGAATTGAACCCCTTGAACATCGAAATTGAAGCCCAAGAACAATTCTGGGTTTTCTAGAATTTTGATATCCGCTCAAGCGGGGAAACCGTCGCTCGAGCGTGAATTTCGTGCTCCTAGTATTTTTGCAGACTTGGATGTCCGCTCGAGTGAGAAAGTCCATGCTCGAGCGAGGAGCTATGTAGACAGACCTTCAGCTCGAGCGTCCGAGTTCACACTCGAGCGTAAAAATGATGCATCCAGCACTTTTTGCATGCATGGCGTCCGCTCGAGCGAGGTAATTTCACGCTCGAGCGGGGAGCCACAAAGAGAGGCCTTCTGCTCGAGCGTAATTTTGATGCTCCCTGTACTTTTGCAGGCCTCAAGGGTCCGCTCGAGCGGGGAAGCCCACGCTCGAGCGGGGACCCTGTTTTCTGAAATTTTGTTTATGCATTCTGAGTTTCGTTTTCTGTTCTCTTTCACTTCTAAGTACTCTTAGGCATGCATTGAGCATTGTAATTGAATTAAAGAGATAAGAATAAAGCCTAAAGAGGAAAATGTGAATTTAAGAACGGATTGAATTGTTGGTGACCCTTTTGTGTTTGTGGACTGTGTAGGGTTGAGCTCCAGGGCAAACCAACCAACCGATCACTGTGAGTAACATTGATATTTTAAAGTTTGTCAATTGTCCAATTGCTTATCTCTCTACTAGTTTACTAGTTTGAATTATGGACAACCGATTGACATAAATGATTGGGCCGAAGGCCGTTTTGACATAAATGATTGGGCTGAAGGCTGTTTTGACATAAATGATTGGGCCAAAGGCCGTTTTGACATAAATGAACAGGCCGAAGGCCGTTTTGACATAAATGATTGGGCCGAAGGCCGTTTTGACATGAATGAATGGGCCGAATGCCGTTTTGACATGAATGGATGGGCCAGAGGCCGTTTTGATACAACTGAGTGGGCTAGAGGCCGTTTGACAGAATGAAAGATAAATAGGCACAGTCACTTGACTTAAATTGCGCATATAAATGTGAAACAAAAATGTGAATTGGGCCGAAGGCCGTTCGGAGTATGTTATTCTACATATTGTTTGTATTTTCTTATTTGATATTATTCACTGGGCTATCGCTCACGCTCATTCATGTGTTTGTAGGTGAGCCAAGAGAGGTCCAGACCCAGCCCCAGTGAAGTTTGTGTGGAACAACCGAGTTTTGGAGAGTCAGCCCTAGTATCTCACGCACAAGACCTGTCTTCGCCTTTCTACTATACTATTTTATTTTTGTCATGTTGGCGAGGACTTTACATATTTCTGTATATAGTTGTCATGGGTTGACTTAGTTTTGGATGATCCTGTTTGTACAGAACTTATGCTATTGCATTTC